ATGAGTAGGCTTTGTGTGCCATGCTCTCCAAGTCCTGTGCCAGCTCTTGCAGGCTCTCCCCTTTAGCATGGACTCTCGTCCTGAACCTGGCCCTGTAGACTTCTGACTGATTCTGGGTTCCATACCTGAGTTCCAGAGCCTCTACCAGTGCTCTGTAGTTGTGTCTGTCGGCTGCTGTCAACTGTCCAAGTATTTCTAGTGGTTGTCCCTTCAAGCTTGTTGCCAGATATACAGCTTTCTGCTCCTCTGTCCATCCATTCATCTCTGCTAGTAACTCAAACTGTGCTCTATATACTTCCCATGGTGCCTTCCCATCGAATTCTTGTGGCTTCCTTCGCACTGGATCACTCCTATTACTGGCATTCATATCTGGGATGTGACTTCTAACGGGACTGAATATGTCTGCATTAGGGTTTAGCTGCAGGGTCTGGATAGGGCTTGTCATTGTCTGGGGCTGGTTAAGTCGATGGTCAATGTATCCTCCTTGTGTAAAAGACAATAGATCGTCCTTTAAATCTCTTCTTGGAAGAACGAGAAAAGAAATTGTTTATTTTCTTTCTCCTCTAACAACTGCTGTAATTTGATTACAGCACTGGTTTGGAGGAGAAAGGAAATAAACAAGAAGAGATCTCTTGTTTATTTTGCTGTTCGAGCTGCCATTGTTGTAGGTTTTCTTGCCACTGCTGTAATCTTTCTTCTTGTTTCTTTTCTTTTTCCTCCAATCACTGCTGTAATTTCTCTTCTTGTTTATTTTGTTGTTCGAGCTGTCACTGTTGCAGGTTTTCTTGCAACTATTGTTGTCTCTCTTCTTGTTTCTTTTCTTGTTCGAGCTGCCATTGTTGCTGGTTTTCTTGCAACTGCTGTTGTCTCTCTTCTTGTTTCTTTTGCTGTTCTTGTATTGCTGCCATTAAGTCTGCTAGGCTGTAGTTTGATTTGCCGCTTCTCGTTTCCATTTTCTTTTTATCCCACTTCTGACACCAATTTGTTGCGTCTCCGTTTGTTAATTGATTTTCCGTAACTTCGTTCCGACGAAACTTTAGCGACACAAGTCTTTTCTTAATAAAACTGGTTTATTCTTTCCGAATACAACTTTACCGATACACTTATTTTCAACAGTCGCGCTATAACAACGAACGTGCTCAACTTCAACAATACTTTCTGACTGCAGTTCAATTACACACACATTGTCACGTCACGCCGTGACCATCTTATATATACTAGACCACCCCCCAATCTAGTAACTGCTAGAGCACTCCCGGAGGAACGGGATAGTTCTAGAAAGCAGGTGGCGTGACACTAATCACGTGACCTCGCTGACGCAACAGTGTATTATAATAAGTCAACTCTCTTCAACTTGTTCCAGTACACATTTTCCCATAATGGTAACAGATTACAAGAATGACTCTAAAGGCTTGTAAGTACATACTTTACTCTTGGTAGTCACTTGTGTGATTGGAGGAAACTTGTGTAAATAGTCAAATATTTAATACCGTTTATTCAATGTATTATTTATCATTTTAATAAGTATTAAATGATTTATGCACGTGTTTCTTGTTCAATCTCTCACTGTACACGTTCTTAAGGGTCGGACAGGTTTGTGAGCTTCAACTTCTTCTTGAATATAAATTCCAATGTACATAATCTATCAGATATTAGTCTAATCCTTGTGTTACCTAATAGATCACGTGCCAGATATGGAACTCACTAAAATAACATTTACAACAAGTAGCTGGGCTATGAAAGTTGCTGTGACTCGAAACTGTAGTACTCAACTGACTATGATATAAATGTCTTTACCACACGCAAACAACAGCGTTTCACGTTACAAGTTATACTCCCGTGAGGTTGATTAATATACTTCAAAATCAAATAAAAGAAGACAAACGTAATAGTATTATTCTTAGATACTTAACTATATTGCTATTCGACAAAAACACGTGAGTTTTAGCAATGTTTTTTCAAGAAGTGTATTTGATATGCGAACTGTATTCTAAGGATTTCTTCTGCTTTGATCTGGAGTTGAGACGACGTTTCTGATTTTGACGCCGAATTAATGCAGGAGAAGTCCATAAAACTCACAACCCATATAAATAAACAGCTGAGATTAATAAAGTAATAACCCCGATTTTTCAAAAGGTTATATCCCACCAGATTTTTAGGATTCATTAATTGTATCTAGACGCGCTTAGCAAAGAAAGTTGAACTAGGCAGTTGTTTGTTCATCATGAAGACTCTTGCCTAAGTCGTATACTTTGAAACAAATTTTGAAACATGGTTAGAATTACAATTTTTACTTAAATTTCGAAATCTGATATGCAGGTGTGCACTCAATAACTGAAAGGTGCTCACCAATCCAGACAGAGTTAATCTGCAAAACATAACATCAGCACAGTATATTAGGAGTATCAATGTGTGTTTGTAATTAAGCACAAAGCTACACAACGGGCTATCTGTGCTCTGCCCACCGCGAGTATCGAAACCCAGTTTCTAGCGTTGTAGGTCCGAAGACATGCCGCTGTGTCACCGGGAGGAGAGGGAGGCTAAAAGATTGTTTGTTTGTTTTTGAATTTCGCGCAAAGCTACACGAGGACTATCTACGCTAGCCGCTCCTAATTTAGCAGTGTAAGACTAGAGGGAAGGCAGCTAGTCATCACCACCCACTGCCAACTCTTGGGCTACTCTTTTACCAACGAATAGTGGGATTGACCGTCACCCTATAACGACCCCAAGGATGAAAGGGCGAGCATGTTTGGTGGGACTGGGATTCGAACCCGCGACCCTCAGATTGCGAGTGCCTTAACCACCTGGCCATGCCGGGCCGGGCTAAAAGAAGGAAAATATCCCATATCATATAAAATAAAACTTACTAAGCTAGCTACACATCCAGTTCCAGCTCCGACGTCTAAAATACGAACATTTTTGCCCAGCCCCAGTTCCACGAATTCTTCTACTACAGTCTTAGGCCCATACATTTCTGTATCAATCATGTCCTGTAAATCACATTAAAATACAAGAATTAGTTTAATACCCATGTTAGATAAGTGAGTAAAATTTTCACAATACATTTTTATTCTGGATTTAAAAAAAAATATGTTTGTTAACGCAACGTAACTCTTAGTTGGATACAATTATAATTATTATGTTTTACTTGTTTGTTTTGGAGGTTCACAAGGCTACACAAGAACTATTTGCACTAGCTGTCCTTAGCGTGAAAAGATATAATGTTGGAAGGCAGCTAGTTAACAGCATCCACCGCCAAGTCTTTGGCAACTATTATCTAACCAACAGTGGGATTAGACTATCACGCTTATAACGCATGATAGAGAACAAGGTACATGATAGGTCCGTTAATAACAGCAGGATCTGATAGGAAATTTGCTGAGCTATTTCAATATAAAAACTTGACTCATTCCTCAGTTCTTTTAAAATTAAAAGTGAAATAACCTTTACTAATTGCACAACAGAAGAAAACAGTGTACTTATGTGGTATTTTCAGATCAAACTTATTTCCTGACAAGTTTTTTTCTGATAGAAATACCCACGAATAGCTGCAGTTTCGACCCAGTGATTTAAGTGAACTTTCAGGGAATGTATTCAACTGAGTTTGTGGAGTTAGTGTGAAAATAAGGGAGTTTGGACACTTTAAATGAAATGAAAACAAAATGTTTATTCACAACAACACAAAATCACGGAAAACTGACGTACGACAACTGACAGTTTTCACTCTTCCTTCTTGTAAGATAGGTTACCTCAACACTAAATGCTGAACGAACTTCAAAAGATCGTTCTGCAAAAAACTGAGATCAAACCTAATACAAAGAAAGCATCTGCATTCCAAACATCCATTTGCCTTCTTTGTCAACAGACAGCATCACCTCGTGACCTCTGTTCCCTGACAGCACTGGTCAGCTATCAGATTCAGTTGACGTCATGCTTCGGCCAGGAAAGGATTTTCCATTTTAAAGTCATTTTAACCCAGGATCAAAATATATTGAAATATCCTTGCAAGTAGAAGACGTCGCCTGATAAAAAAACAAAGTGCTGAGGCGGCTAGAATAAGATAATATTAGACACTTTGGGCCACTTGTTGCCGACATGATAGTTCGGCAGCTATATAATTAATAATTAAAAAAGTCTTATCACTACAGATGGTAGAAAACATGGTACGCTTGCATATCACAAGTACTTGAGTAAATACTCACTAACTCTGGTTGTTTACTGGAATAATATGTAGCTTTACTCTAGCTAGAAAAAACAAAAAAACATCATTCTAGATCGAAAATCAAGAAACGATATTCAGAAAAGGAGATCAATTCATATTCTGTTTACAGAATGAGTTTTCGTGAAAGCTCCATTTTCTGTCCCTCGTGATGGAGGATCCCACTATCATAGCAGTCCCAGGCCTGTGACGTAATCCGCTCACTAACGGAAGGACATCACTGCATTTACGCAAGCAGAGTAGAGCATGGAGGAAATTTGACCCAAGATGGAGAGAGAAAGAGGCGATTTCAAAGGCAGAAGGTCATGCCAATACCAAGAAATTCTAACGATCCTGGAACAGATGATTTCATGCGAAAAACAACATTGAAGGAAACTACATGGAAATTTCAAAAATTTTTATATCACTAAAGATAGTGCAAAAGTACACCACTTACTTGTCTATCACAAAGCTACACTAGTGATATCTATGCATAGCTATCAGATCTGATAGACCAGAGGGAAAGCAGACGTTCAACAGCACCCACTGTCAACTCTTAGGCTATTCTAGCCTGATCAAGTAGTGGGATTTGACTGTAACTCTTATTGCACACTCATTGATCCAAAATGTGAAGCGCGTTTTAGCGACAACAGGAGCTATTTACTAATCTTGGAAACTATATTAGTAATGTTGTATGACCTATCTTTCATTTATATTTAACTATGGTGTAGCCCCCCAGTGGCACAGCGGTATGTCTGCGGACTTACAACGCTAGAAACCGGGTTTAGATACCCGTGGTGGGCAGAGCACAGATAGCTCATTGTGTAGCTTTGTGCATAACGTAAAACAAACGAACGTTCAAATTTACCATTCACATACCTAATTTTGCATAAGCTACTTGTCTAGACAATAGTTTTGGTAAAATAAACATATTTACGTATCTATACAAATACAAAGCATGGTACCAGTAAACGAGAAAGTCGGAAATCTTGCCAGTATTCTAGGCAAATTTTATGTTGAAATCGGACAAGTGCAGATATTATACGTTTATTGTAACTTGTAGAACATAAAGGCACAATAACTGTTGCGATATGATACTCAGTGATAAATTTATTCAATCAGTGTGGCCAATCATTGATTAAGTTAATTGTTTCTGGTATAAGTAATATAATCCTCTACAGAATGGGCCTATGCTCTTCACAAATATGTTACCATTAGTGGCATGTATATATAAATAGGCCTACCAGTTGCACTTGGGTATATTGAGACACTAAAAAAGAGATTAAAATCTTAACTAAAATGTTAAACTTTAAGATTTACGTGTAGGCCTGAGAATGTAGGTTAAATATAACATGTGACAGCGTTAATTAATCAGATTTTAATAAAATTGAAAATAAAAGATCTAGAATAAAACAATTATTTACTGGTGATTTCGGGCAACAGGTCATTTGTTACCCTCATAACCAATCAATAATTGTTTAATATTAAGCCTGTTTTTGTTGTTGTTGTTGTTCACTGTTAAGCTCAGAACTACATTTCTGTTGTCCAAACCCGATTTTTGGCGTTATAAAGCCTCAGATTTACCCCTGATCCATCGGAGATGGGTGTGTTGTTAGTTTTTTTTATTATTTGGTGATACAACAATTCAAAGGATAGTCAGCCCTTCTTTTATTCTACACATTTGTTTATTAGAGTTTGTAAATAGCACCTATTCCAACTTTTGTTGACTTAACAGTTCTTTATTCCACATTAATTTACTTTCATACAATATATCAGAAAACGTACTTACTTCATCATAAGTCGCTGCCCATTTTTGGTAAAACTTTTCACAAGTTTCCTCTGGAGGGCGCTCCTGTAAGACACTCTCGATAAAATTGACTTTCTCATGTGTGGGGTTAGAGCTTTCTGAGGTAGTTGTCATCTTGGCACAAATTGTAATACCTTAGATTAAAACAGGAATATCGTAAACGTATAATAAATGTAATAATCTGAAATATAATAGTTTATTCTTGCAATTAATCCTAAGAATATCATGTGGAGAGAATGATGATGGTTTATAAGAGCTGTAAATCCTACTATAGGTATTTTATATTCCGAAGTTGTTCGTTGATAATTTACATCAAAGTTCCCATTGGATTGTACTTCGCATAACAAAAGAACGTTTTCCATACGACACTTTAGAATGTTTACAAGCGTGTTAACAATATCACATCGCTAGTGTCACTGATTTTGTTAATTTAATTATGATATATATGAAATCCATTTTCTCTCTATATTGTTACGCCTCCATCGTTAATTGATTTTCCGTAACTTCGTTCCTTACTCAATAAAACTGGTTATTCTTTCTAAATATAACTTTACCGATACACTTATTTTCAACAGTCGCTCTATAACAAACGTTTTAACAACAATTACTTAGTTCCGTGATTGGAATATACTGCCAATTCACATATCACTGAGGTTCAGAAGGCGATATTTGTCAACGTATTATATTTTGTTTGTTAGTTATAAAAGCACCAAAACTTGATTTACGGTACCAGTGTTATATATTAATAGTTCTTGAATTTTACCATCACCTCAGCTTGATTCTCAATGGGTATCTTACTTCTCCGAAAGGGAGCCAAATGCCGCCTGGAGGGATTTCCTATTTTAATCACTCACACCGCTATACAGTAGTGTGTTGCATGTCAGTCAGTCAGTAGAAACTAAAATGACGTCACATAAAGGACGCTCAACGTTGCAATTTGTATTGTCGTGACGTCAGAAAAACGTGCGCATGGCATGAATCACGAAAAGAATTGTGCACTTTGTAGGCTACAACACAGCATGACATACGAACTTCAAAGAAAGAAAAAAAATCGTCACTCTTAATTGTAGTCTTTTTTTACTCTTAAAACAGCACTTTTGGGATCCTGCGCAATTACATTTAGTATATGCATTTGCCCAAACGCTCTCCTACGTAAAATAAAAGTATGGACATACCTCATCCTGTTATCAAGGGTCTATTTACGTGTTTCTCTAAACATTATAGTACTACTAAGATAATACGAGGTACATTCAGCACTTGTATTACCACATTTAAATCACATCCCTGATTACTATACTTAGAATGAATGTTAGAATGAAAAGCTTTCATTTCATTTCTGTTAAAATATCGAACTTTAAACTTTTGTCATTAATCTTTATTGAGTAACATAATCTATAGTTTTATTGAAATAAACTTCTGCTAAGTAAAAATAAAATACTTCGGGACTTTTGTTAATTTAACCATCAAATTATCAATTTGTATACATATTGTTGCGTCAGCGAGTCACATGACCACCGTGACGCAACGTTTCTAGAACTATCATGTACTTTGGCGAATGTTCAAGTTCTTACTAGAAATAGGGTACGCTGGTATATAAAAGAGGGGAATGTAATGTGTGATAGTCAGTGAGTAATTGAACTGCAGTAACAGGGTATTGTTGAAGTTAACGTTCGTTCGTTAAAGTGTTGTTTTAGCGCGAGCATTGAGATTAAGTGTATCGAGGAGTTATATTCGGAAAGAATAAACCAGTTTTATTAAGTAAAGACTTGTGTCGTTAAAGTTTCGTTGGAACGAAGTTACGGAAAGTTAATTAACAAACGGAGACGTAACAATATTATTTAGAACCGATGGTGGTCCATATGTTGCATCATATTAGGTTTTTTTTTGTTTTCTTTTTTTTGCCTGTCATAACACTCATCCAAATACCTGATCAAAAGCATTAGATAAAATCACTTATTTTGTATCTACAAAACATAAAAAATACTCAAGAGTAATTAGTATGGTTAGTTGCAATATTGACGTCATTTATGTTTATACATTTTAAGACCAATAAAGTCATGAATCTACGAACAATTTGGAGCGTAGGGGAGAAATCTTTGGCTTTTTTTTGTCACAAGACCTGGGAGGATCTTGACTGTTGTTTGATTATGTTCAATGAAGCCCACATTATTCTCCAGTCTTATTCAGTCCGGTAGCTATGAGGATCTGTTTTAACAACATGAAGCCACTGTATGCGAGATACGATTGTCAGTAGGTTGTCGAACACACGAGTGGCCCTTTTCAGGCCATGTTCATGGGTGTAAAATGTAGATTTTCTCTATTTTTCAGGCAAATATATCACTTTTTATCGGTCATTATCGTTCTTACAAACAGTTCCATAATTACCGATAAAATAAACAGGACTAATTATATTTTCCCATAAATACCTTTAAAATAAAACTAACACTCTTTCTAGCTACCGTAAGTATACAGTTTACTAGATTTAGTAGTGAGAGGTATTTAGATTTATGTTCATCATGTATGCTATAGTTTTTTAGTGTGTTTAGTGAAGCATTTTTGTTCAAATTTTTCTTGAAATAATCTATTGATCTATTAAAAAGTTTGTCCGACAACATAGGGATGTTTGCGTAATTGAGTACAAAGGTTGTGTTTGTGGATCTGGGAACTTTGAATGCCTTATTGATTATTGAATTTCTGATTGTATGTAGTTTATTAATGTGTGATTAGGCTACAGTTAACCATGCTGGGCAGGAGTAGTTTTTCACTGGACGTATATAGGTTTTACAGATTTTAACTACGTTTTCAGTTGTTGAGCCCCTGGTGTTGCCAGTCAGACGTCGTACATAATTTGTTCTTTTCTCTTTTCTATTTACGTGATTGGGCAAATCTAGTTTTGAATCATAGGTTAGACCCAGATGAGGCTATCTGGAGAAGGGTTCCATTGGGGTATGATTATGAGGGCTGTCTACTTGTTTTAGTTGATTTTGTAAATTATATATAACTGGTGTTTGGGGGGCATTTATTTTCATTCCCCAAGTGTTAGAGATGTTTCATATTTGGTTCTAGACCTGTCGTGGCTATGGTTGGAGTATATTGTTACGTCTCCGTGTGTTAATTAATTTTCCGTAACTTCGTTCCGACGAAACTTAAGCAACACAAGTCTTTACTTAATAAAACTGGTTTATTTTTTCCGAATATAACTTAGCCGATACACTCAACTTCAACAATCGCGCTATATCAACGAACGTCAATAATACTTCTGACCGCAGATCAATTACACACTATCTGT